TGTGTTGTGGTGGTGGTGGTGGGCTTATTGTAACCCCTCGGAATTGTTATAGGTTTTCTATTTCAAGGAATAATTTTTTTTTTAAAAGTAGAGGATTTTTTAAATTCTTTTGAGATCAAATAAATTTTAGAAAAGTTTGATAGATCATCGAACACCTTTTATTTATCTTTTATTGTTGGATTCATATTTAACAATCAAGACAACTTATGACAGGAGTTTTTGAGTAATTCATATTAAACTATAATTGAATGAATACTGATTTATCACCATTATGAAATGTCAAAGGTGATTCAAATTATTCAATGATTTCAATATTTTTTTTTAAGCATCCATGCACATATATTTGCATATATACTTGTAGTATATAAATCCATAAATATAGATAAATAATATCTATGCATATATGTGCCTTTGGAGCCCACATATAAGTGTGCCTTGGGCACCTTGATTAAAATTATCCAGTGATTTCAAATTTGTTTTTCAGAATTGATGTGTATATATTGCATGAATACTTGGTTAGAAATACAAATCGTACATATGTATGCATACCTATGTTTGGTGTATGCATATGTACTTGGTTAGGAATACATGTATTTGATGTGTATATCTTGCATGAATACTTGGTTAGAAATACAAGTCGTACATATGTATGCATACATATGTTTGGTGTGCATATATATGCATAAAACTGTGTCTGCAGTGCCTCGAAGCCTCGGCACCTGCCTAAGCCTAACATATAGGTGCCTAGGCCCCCTTCGCTGCCTGGATGCCACCCAATGTCTTTTGTGTCTATGACAGTGATTGAGATCACCCAGAAGCTCTAGTTAGACCATTCATTGAACCTAGCAATGAACGAGCTCTGGAACAAACTATGCGTTATTGCTGTGACAAGAGAACAAGCAGTCAGGCACGTTCACTTCCTGACTTCCCTTGGAAGGCTCCCCCCATAAAGGGTTTTTGAGCCGCCGATGTTTTAATCTTCAATCCTTTTGGGCATTTAGTCTAGACCTTGCAGAGAGAGGCTTGAGTCCTTCAATGCCTTTGTAAATCAAGCATCTATATGGCTGTTGTTTGGCAGTGGATCTGTTGTGTCTTATTTCTGGCCATGGTCTCTTAAATGGAGAGACTCAGTGGAGTTTCAAGTGTGTTGGTGTCTATAATAGAAGCCTTTACACAAGAAGATTATATTCTGATGCTATGACTATTCGGATTAGGATGTGTTTTATTGATGATGCAACAATCACTGGTGTTATCTGGCAGGTTTAGCATGCAGTGGTTGTTGGCATGCGACCTATATATTGACCAA